TGCTGCTGCTGCTGTTGCATATGGCTATGAATACTTTCATAACCCGAAGAAGACTGCAAACGAAGCACGCCGGGATTAGGGGGAAACAGGTCTTCAGGCCTCTGCTGAGAAGATTGTCTCACAAACTGCGCTTGATCCCGGCTATTCGCAGCCATGAGTTGATCCGCGGAAGCAAAATTCTTCATACCATGAGGTGAATGGAGGTTAGACCGAGGGAAGTACTGTTGTAACACTGGTTGTGGAGCATATGACGAATTGGACATCTGAATCATAGGCTGCGTCGAGTCGTTGTAAATCGGCGGTTGCGATGCGGCCGAGGCATTGGAGGCTGGCATTTGCTGATAATCACCAACGTTTGGAGAGGCGGCAATGAATACCTGCTGCTGCTGCTGTTGTTGTTGCTGGTGATTATAAATTTGCTGCTGTTGTACCTGCTGTGGGGGCACCGACGAAGGTTGAACGTGGCATGTTTTGTGAGAATTTCCTGGTGATGGGGTAGTCTGCTGCTGGGGATTCTGCAGCCCTGAGAGTTGGTATGGAGAGGAGTGGGAGTATTGAAGTGATCTATTGCTGACAATCGGTGCACCAACGGGTTGGTGTAACGGCGTATTAGTAGACTTTATGGGAGAATTCCGAGAATGAACAGAATTGGGTGAAGTGAGAGAGTTCTGTGTCGAGAAACTAAGTGGAGGTTCTGAGGACGTTGGAGTGCACTGCGAGACAGAAGGGCTAGCCTGCTGAACGTTCGTTTGGGATAATGGCAAGTGGCAGACTGAAACACTCGGTGGCTGGGGAGTATTTGGTTGCTGTTGTGGTGTTTTGCTGTTGCTACGTTGCATTGTCGCCTGCCGACGCCGTAAATGTTGAACCTGCATCATCCTGCGCTGACTTTCTTGCTGCTTCTTCTTAGCTTTAAATTTGTCACACAAGACAACGGGACACTTGGTCTCGTGGCATTTGTTTGAGTGAGCTATAAGGAAAGTGTACACATGCTTGCAAATAGGACACTTCGTCCAATCATGGTGTAACTTGAAGTGTTCTAATTTCTTCTTCATCCCCTGGCAAGCCTTGATATAGCAGTTGGCGTCACGGCAGGAATAAGTATGCTCTAACAGTTCAACAAACCGCTCAACTAAATTCCTGCTTGACTCCTGTACAGCAGCTCCACTACTATCCTCGTTCAAATTACCATCCGAAACGTTAACCTGGGTCATGGGGTGAGGGTGTTTCTTCTGTTGATAGCAGGAATCGCACAGATGATAGTCATCACATTGTACGCACTGCCATGGCATACTGATTTGGTTGCTACACTTATTACATGTGTACATCAGAGAGCTTCGGTTTTCGGTGTGAATGTCATACATAAAGGCCAGGGTAGAGTACTTGGCGCGTCGAAGGGAAGAGAATTCCAAGTGCTTTTCTCGCGCACGGCCCAAGAAGTTATCACGACATTCCATAAGCTCTGATGCTATAAGTGGATCAGGATCTTTTATCGGTCCGAGGGATGCAACAGCGCTAGGCTGGTGAAGTCGGATTACGAAGAAGGTTTCTTTGTTCTTTTCCATGATTTCATACACCTTACGGGCAACCTCAGACCCTGGGTCGGAAATCCCCAGGCCATTGAAGCGCTTCCGTTTGCCAAGAGCCATAGCAGATGTGGTGCGTTTCATTTTTCGCTTTTTTGCCTTCTTTTTGCCAGGTTTACGATCGGAGTCCCCATGATTGCTATCCTCGTCAACTACATCCTCAATATCATCACCTTTAGCCAGTTCTGCTTCTTCTCGTTTGCGTTTGTTTTCCTCTTCTTCGACCGACTAAAAAAACATAAAATTAGTTGGCTTAGGACAAAGACCTTGACGACAAATTATTTTGTTGATAGTTTCAGTCCCCCACCCCCTTCCTCAATAACTAATCAAAAATTGAATTTGCTTCGGGAGCAAGAGGAGGAATAAAACCAAAACCACCGTGGCTGACCGAATGCTGTTAAGGTGGAAAATGATAGACTGCTGTCTGTGATAGCTGTTTAATATGGAAACTAAAAGAGAAACTCAAAACGCAGTTGTCTACTATTAAAAGCTCTTTTGGTTTCAAAAAGAGAACTATGAAAATTCGTAAGTGGCAAAAAATGCAAGTTAGTATGTTTTGGAAAGATAACGGCTAAAGAACCATGGCCGTTGAAATAAGAGCAAAGACGTTACCAGACTTATTCGATTCGCCGAAGTTCTATAACTGCTCTACCCTTTTTAGCTTGTTTATTGGTCAGCTACAAAAAGCACGTAACGTGTCCCAAGAATAATAGTAAAGCCTAGGAAGAACTTAAATGTCCGCACACGAATTTGAACTAGTACTGACTAATAAACAGGTCCTGTGGTGGGAGCGCTCACAAGTAATCGTCAGTCCAAGTTCGGTAGAAGAGTGAGACCATCTGAATACAAAACTACAAATCCGGAGGAAATGATTTGGACAACGGCGTACATACACGGTACCTCTATTGTAACTTCAGTCTTACGAGAGAATGAGTAACGCTTGTTTTACAATGAAAGAGGCAACATAGCTTTGGTAATGCTATAAATCTGTGAAACAGCATGTCTTGATCGTGGGTCACTTTAAAGGGAAATAAAGTTAGTGATAACGAAACAAGTGATCGCATGATACAAAACTAGTGTTCCTTTTAAGAGACAGTGTAAATACATTTCATTGCATAAAACTACGAAGTAAGACTGACCTTAAAAATATCTTCCAATGTGTTTGGCCAATAATCGCCATCAAAGTAGGGCAGGTTTGCGGGCGAAAACGAGTCGACATCACCAGCATCTTGGCAAATATCGTTGTAGTCAGCGACAATACGTTCGTTGTGCGCCTTCTTCAACATTTTCTGATACCATTCCTGTAAGCGGCGTGGTTTTGGTATTTTCTGTTCGGCAGGATGCATGTGGAAAATATAGTCATCACCTTCACCTGGTGGACAAGCCCAAATGTGTGCTGTAGCGAAACCCAGCTGTTTAGCATAGTCCATATAGCCTATCAATATTTCATGATATATGTCAGTTCGATATTGTTTGGGTTGAAAAAAGTGGACGGAATCCAAGTAAGCTATGTAAACTCGTCGGTTGTTTGGTGCGGGACATTCGGAAGAATATTCTTGCACATGAAGACCGAAAAAACAGACTTCTTGTCCATCGATTTCCTGGAAGGCAAAAATGGCCTTCACTCGATAAGGAAAGGATTCGGGAAAGTTTGCCTTTTCGACGAAATGCTTTTTCATGTATTTCTTCACCTCCATCGTTTTATCTGCACTGGCAAGAACGCGCACGATGACGCTGCTCGTATTACATCCTTTTCGTTTCATGAAGTCATTGACGCGCTTCTCCAAATAGTTGCTCAGTTTGCATGTCGGGATTCGTTTGGCAGTATATCGATTTAGTGGCCGAGTAAGCGAACCATCTTTGATGCACTTTGGGCACAAGAATCCAGTCGGCCAAATCTCTTCCATGTAACACGCGCAAATTTTATGCCACTTTCGATTGCATTCGCGACAATTGACAAAATCTTCCTTGACAATTATGTTATTCTTCTGTTTCTCGAAGAGGGACTTTTCTATAAAACTGGATAATTTAAATTAATAACAAAAAGGCCAGTTGGCTTACACAGCAGAGTTTGTATCATCTATGGCAACTTTTTCGTCGGCTTCGAGAAAACATTTTTCACAGACAATGTATTTGTCCCATATCAATCCTGGTTGCTTTTTATCACTACGGCAATGGAGGTCATAAAAGAGGGCTTACGAGTTGTCAAAGGCATAATATACAGCATCCCTGTTAATGTTGCATGACTTTTCGGTTAAACAAGCCAAAACATGGGGGTAAAACACATATTCGCGGCCACAACAGAAACCGAGCGATTGCATCGCCGGATCAACTAAACTTTCGAATTTTTCGGCCAACTAGAAAAGGTATATTAAATTGGGATCTGGTTTACCTGTGAACAGTGTTTGTACACTTTGGAGGCTTTTTTGTTATACAGCCATGCATTGTTAAACATAAGCCAAAAATCATCCACAACACCCCAAGGATCCTTGTATGCACCATTGTTTAATTTTTCTTCGATTAGGGACAAATCCATGGGAGTACTGACAACGCTTAAGTAGTCTACAAGTCCGAGCTCCTTGTACTGAACAGGCTGAAGGAACGGCAACGCAGAACTTTCTAATTTCAGTTCTTGGAGTAAAGGCGAAAAGGTATTCAACAGTTCTTTGCGAGACCATGATACGCATTTTGACTCCTTCAAATCTGCGTTTTGTGAAACGGCGGACGGGGATGACGATGGTAAAAATCCAGACACAAATTCAGATACGGACCCATCTTGTTTGAGTCCTTTTACTTCACCATTAACGAGAACTTGGGGTTTCTCCGAAGTTGCCTGAGTTAAAACTGCTTCCTGTTTCACTTCAACGGCGGTCGAATCAAAGATTGAATTCTGACTGGTTGACGAATTTTCGCATGTAGGAACAGTAGTTTGAGGTGATTCGGAGGCTGGTTCAAGTTTCATCAGGGTATTGTTTGATTGAACCAACTCATTTGACTGAAAATGCTCAGCAGAATGAAAAGTATTGCGGTGCGTGCAGTCTGACGGAACGATTCCCGACCCACCTTGAGCAAAATTCATGTCATTCGAAGTCGGTGGCTCTACTTTACACGGTAGTGGGGATGAAGTTCCATTACTCAAACCGCTGGGAATATTGCGATAAGCGTTTTTTAACTCATTTTGTATGTTGAGGCAGCACCGGGACAACTTCTCACTATATTCTTCCTTGCTAGTTGAGTTTGTGTAAAGTTCCTTCTCATAAGCCTTCACCCTGTCCATTATAAGGATCGCTCTTCGGTCGGGTGGCATAGTTAAGTTCGGCAGAAAAAGCTCCTTGTAACTAAATGGGCAATAAAATTAGCAGAATTTAACTTACAATTTTTTGAGGTAACGTTCACGTGTAGCGGTGTTCACTTCATTACGCCAGCTTGTGCCATTTGGACAGTTTGACAAATGACTTAGAGGAATTGTATCAGACAATGCGTTAGAAGACCGAGAAAACGCTTGTGAGGCACTGTTTCCTTCATAAGGAAAGTTGTTTGTATTTCTTCCGCCGGATATGTTCTGGCCACTAATATCCGCTTGGGTTCGTGCGTGCTGGGAAGAATCTCGTAGGGGTGAGCAGACCGGACAGTTTGGATTCGTACATGTGCTCCAGTGATTTATCACTAATTTTGAAGAAACACAGTGTGGACGAGGGCACGCTCGATGGCGGTCACATGTCGATATGTGAGACAAGATTTCTTGCACTTCAGCGCAGGCCGGCGAGGAACAATTAACGAGCAGACCAGCCTGTCTATTCTTTCTACACTGCATCGCGTGTGATAAAAGAATGAGCTTTTTTTGAACCAAAATTCGGTTCTTAGTGTCTTGCTGTTGTCCAACAGCATCGTTGGAAAACGGCTGCTGCATTATATAGCCGCGAGGAATTGATAAAACCTTTGCCTACGATAACATCTAAATTGAGGAAATAAGAAAAATTATACGAAGGATAAAGTTAAAAACATAACAATAAATATAATTCAGCGATCACAAACAATGATACCAACTTACGGAAAAAATCAAACAACGAGTTCGCAAAAAATGGCGAGCAAATTTGATCTTTGAGAACTTTTATAATGCGATTTAAACGAAATGTTGAAAGCGAATTTCCCCCAACGAAGATCCCGACTACAGCATATAGTAACAGAGATATTTGGCACGTTTTACTATATAAGGCACATTTAATATTGTCATTTTAATCAAATTAGTTCCCAGACTAACATGGGATGTGTACGTGGGATTATTTGGTTTCCTGTATACATACGTGTGTTTAACATAATAATGTGTTGTTCTGTGGCTAATCCGAGTTCAGATTGTTTAAAATTATTCAAAACTATCTAAAGATAACAAGGCACTAGTTAAGGGTCGCCAGACAACTTGTGACTATCGTCTTGGTTTCTTTGGTGTGATTTGAAATACCGAACACAGTCGCTCAGTTTCCTTGCCCAATCTGAAGAAGTTGCCGTTCTGTTTAACTGCTGCAATATCATCGTGTATTCTGAGTATCGACAAATCCCTGGTATGCGCAAAACCGATAACTGATTTTTTAGGAAATGCAGCTGAAAAGAATACGCGACAGGAATCGCCGGCAAATGTACAAGATAGACAGTATTTATAGAGACTAGTACGCTTCCTTTGAGCCGAGGAATGATTCGTGTACTTATTTAATAAAATTTCCAAAAATTCAGAGGGAAGCCGTATTCAGAGTGTATACAAATACGGCAGAAACAAAATGACCACAAACTCTTCTCCAAGTGGACCTGCCCCGTTCTTCTATATTCCTTCATGAAGCAGTTTCTGCATGACCACCTTATTGAAAGTTGGATTTCCGTAACTTTGCCTGCATATCTAATACAAGGTGTTTTTCATC